ATTTGATGCTATTAAAGGATTTTAAATAGGATAGTGATATATATATATATNAGGGAGCTAAGGCAATTAATTATGGAGAAAATGGTGTACTCATTGAGGCTCCTTTGGGACAATCAGGGGTCCTTTCAGTCCCTCTTACAGTTACCACAGTGTAAGGAATATGTTTGGAATTGTAAGACCCGTGCACTAAACACAAATCCCACACGTCAGGGGTGGCTTGCTTCACAAAAACCACAAGACAAAAGAGACGCTGCAATCAGGCATGAGGAATTTTATTTTCCAGCAAGCTGGGGCGCTTTGCCTTTTGGAAAAGCCGCCCAGGGCTGGCCTGTGGCTCACTCAAGAGTGCGGTGCTGATAACACCAAGGCCACGGGTTCGGATCCCATATAGGGATGGCTGGTTTGCTCACTGGCTGAGCGTGGTGCTGACAACACCAAGTCTAGGGTTAAGATCCCCTTACCGGTCATCTTTTAAAAAAAAAAAAGCAGCCCAGAGCTCTTTGATATTAGAGTTTTTATACACTTCCCTTGGACAGAGGCTTTCATGACAGGGTCAGCTGTTAGTTAGCNAAAGCCAAGCTGCTTTCTACAGTGGCGGTATAATTTTACACGGTCACTAGCAGTAAAGTTCGTTTCCCATACCAGCCAGCTGCCAAAACCAATAAATAATAAATAAATAAATAAGTAAATAAATAAATGGTGTATAATTCAATAATAGTATTTTTACAGAGTTGTGGAACCACCATTAAAGCTAGGGCTCAGGCTCACAGACCCTTCAAGCCCATTGAACAGACGAGTCACAACCCCCCACACGCAGGTCTAGAGCTAGGTAATAGGAAAAGGTTCTGGGAGCCACGAGTAAAAAATTAATAGGCTTTATTTATTTATTTATTTTATTTTATTTATTTATTTATTTATTGTCTTTTTCCATGTCCGGCCACGGATTGCAACCCTCAGTGTCGCCCCCGTACCAGACCGGGACCGGCAACGGGATCGCAACCCTCGGCATTGCCCCCGCGCCTCGCTCAGCCAGTGAGCGGGAACCGGTCTGTATGTGGGATCCGAACCCTCGGCGGGCGCGCAGCCGCACTTCTCAAGCGGCGCACTAGCGCAGTGCGCCACCGGGCCGGCCCCGTGGCTTTATTTAGAGCTAGGAGCAGCCGCCCTAGTGGCTTCCTGGAGCGTCCCGAACAGCGTTGTGTATCACAGTCCTTAGTTCTTTATTCTTAGGTCCATAACCCGGGACACCTGGGTGCCCAAATGCAATTACATTGGGCAGTAACCAAGGAACACCTGGGCGTACGTGGATATTTATAGCAAATGCTTGGCAAGATTCTGAACATCTGAGGGGCTCTGACCATTTTCCTTATTTTCCCAACACACCACATCTAAATTTATAATGTTTCCATCACCCCAAAAAGAAACTGTGTACCCATCAGGAGTCTTATCTGTTCTTACCTCCCTCCCAGTCCACTTCCCTCCCCTTAGTCCTAGGCCACCACTCACCTATCTTCTTTCTCTCTATACATTTGCCTATTCTGAAAATTTCATATAAACGGAATCATATAATACGTGGTTTTCAATGACTGGCTTCTTTCACTTATAATGTTTTCAAGGTTCATCCGTATTACAGCATACGTCAGCGTTCATTCCTTTTTATGGCCAAATAACACGCTACATGGACACCCCACATTTTGTTTATCCACTCATCAGCTGCTGTATGTGTGTGCTGTT